AAATAACAGCTTATAATTAATTTTTATCATACAGTAGAGTCGAATACGATGAGTTGATGAGTTATGGAAAGCCACGTTTGCAATAGTATAATATATACCGAAGGCGCGTGATCCTTCACAATGAAGATGTTTGATGATAGATACGCGTTCCTTTCATCCGCGAAAAGACAAAATAGTGAAGTTCTGGTGGCAATTTCGCGAATAGACGATTCCCTGAGTATCAGTCACGGTGCAACAGGAGAACGAAGAAGGATTGACGACGATGACAAGGAACAGGAGGACATCAATGGCAAGGGCATCAACGACAAGGCCGACGTCTCCTCGCGGAACAACAACGGGTCGAGGTACAGCGATGCTAACAAAGGCGACATAAGTTACGTAAAGTGGTCCTATACGCCCTCGCACGACTGGCTATTTTTTACTGACTACACACTGGAAGGCGTCCACGTAACCGACGAAAGGCGCACACCGTCGCGACGCGCTACCGTCGACACAAAGCCGCGTCCTGTCGTCTATACCCAACACAGTCGACGCCACAGGTGAAGCACACTGACGATAGAACCGTGAAGGAGCAGCGTAATCCGTGGCTATATGTTCGTTCGTATACATATACAGGGTGTAACGCCGGTAACGAATGTTATTGATGTCCGGCACGATAGTACAGGATGGCACGCCCTTATTGTCATTTTATACGATACCTGCTCCTATTTTCGGTCACAAATATCGGATAACGGCGCGGCCATGTCGTACAGGACGTCCCTTTTTTTCGGTCCGTCGTGCACGACGACGGCTATTGGCTTTGTACAGCAAATTGGACAACGACGGATCGTTTTCACGTAAGAAAATCTGCTACACCATCGGCAACGGATTTTCCTTTTTCCTTCTCGCTTCTCGATTTCATATTTTCGCCTTTCACGTTTGCCCGATTCTCGCGAATTATTCCACGCGCGCGGCTCCTTATTTTATTTTAATTGAACGCCCGACCACGCGTTTCGATCTTGCGCGGAAACTATGATTCATAATCGATAGAAACGCATATGTACATAGATGCAAAGAGAAAAATTAGTATTAACGAGTCAAACAACGGGTCTTGAATATATAAAAATTAATTTATTCTAGCTATAAGCAGTCGTACCACACCTGGAGTTTATTTTCCAATAGACAACAAACGCATGTCATCGGAGCGATATTCCATAATTCACGCGCTTTTATCGACGAGAATGAAATTTTCAATCTGAATATTTTTGCACGCAGCGACGTCTATGAATTTCCCAAATAAAATTATATTCAAATAATAAAGTGCTTTGTATGGCTCGGGGCTTTATTTAATTAAACTTTGTTAATTAAATATTTGTACGAAGCATAATATTCTAGTACAATGACACGAAATTGCGGAACTTTTGTAGATGCCGACGGGTTGAAAAATATTTCATTATAAAAATTCCAACAAAATTGGAGTTTATAAAAACTGGTGTATTCGCAATATTAACGCGGCGAAACAAAATTAAATATCACATTTAGTAATATCTTGCTAACCTTTATGTGCTAAATTCTTCTGTATTATGTATACTCGCACTCTTCTATAATTACTACATTTATCTTTATTCTATCGAATTCGAACGAAATATCTTGTAACAGAAAAATTGCATTAACACGGGGTTTAAATTCGTTTCTTCCCTCGAACATCGACAAGAAATATGAAAGATTCATATTTTTTTTCCTTGTCAACGTTGTATTAATTTCCATGCATAAATACGAGATTCCTGCGATTTTATTGTCGTTTTCAAACATCAACGGGCACGGCGGAGAAAATACACTTTGAAAGAAAACTTATAACCATCGGTTTCACAACGTTAAGATTATTCTTTGTACGCGAATCCTCCCGGTAGCATTTTTCCCCGGCGAACATTTTCAAGCCAGTGCTTCGTTTTCAAATGTACCTTTAAAAGCTGGAGAAATTTCAATTTCAGTTATCCGACGCTTTATATTGGAATGTGTAGCGCTTCTCTGTACGTTATATTTTTCCAATGAACGCCAACGGCAGAGAGAAAGAGAAAGGTTTTTGCAGAAATACCGAGACACGGGAGGAAAATTGGTTACACCAACAGAAAATTCGGCGACATTTGATGCCGCGGTTAAAGCGAATTCCCAGTGTCTCCCTTGGGTGTTGGGTTCCGGCGGAAGTCCCTCTCGGCTTGTGAAATGAGAAAGCCACCCAGCCCCCTGCAGCGATGCAGTCGATATCCGCCATCCATCAGCCTCGAGACACCAAAAACAACGACTATTGGGTTTCGCGCTACCGCACATAACAACCAATCACCCGCAAAACAATCGGTTGTATACGTACATCCTACAATTGATCGATACGCGAACAATAAAGTAATTAATAAAAATCCACTCTGCCCAGGCGCGGGAGTGCACGAAACGCGAGCCCTCCGCCGCGCCGCCCCGTCGCGATCGGAAATCACTCATTAGTAATTGGAATATACCTGTTTAGACGAATAATTTTCCACGAAACAACCGTTTCAAGGCAGACGACGATCAATCGATTACGCGAACGTTACATAACTTTCATTATACGGGCATTACGATCCAGCAAAATTAAATACATTGACTCCTAATTACTTTTGCTTAGCTTTTGATTCGCCTCGCCAAAATCTAATCTTTCCATTTTATTTATTGTAATTTATTTTAAACATTGTAATTTAAATATATTGCACCTCTGATAGGCAACAGAACAATCAAATTTTCATATGATAGAATTTTAATAAGTTCTTTTAAATAAGTTACTGTGAATGATAAACGAACTATTTGGTCGAAAAGAAATTTCTCTTCCAAACAATCGACACAAAGATGTCTCTGATTTTGATTAATTCCGGTCCCTACAATTACCATTCCCTCTTTCTATCGAAAAGTCTAAGGTAAAAATCATATTTATGTCAATCTTCGTGAAACGAATCAGTTTGTTCTCGATCATACAAGCCTGCGAACTTTTACGGTTAACGTAAACCAATCCATCATCTTTAACGGGCAAATTTTATGACCTAGATTTTCCCGAAATCAGTTTTATTACTGTTTGTGCAAAAGTAATCATCCCCTTGACGAATAGAAATCATTCTTAACAATTTGAAGCTATTAATTAAACGCGTAAAGCAGAAATGTCGTATCTTCAAAACTATAAAAGATAAATATTCTGTTCCAACATGAAGATATGATGGAAGAGTTTTTTTTACTTGTAGTGTTTGGTAAATAATAAACATATTTTGCACCGTTCAGAAAGGAAACTTTTCGAGACTGTCGAACGACGTATTTGAATATTTCCGGTAACTTTGAAGATATTTTCCTGTGCCACATACCCCACCTTCTCTAACGTAGTTATTTTGTTCTTATCATTAACAAATAAATATGTCGTGATCTGCACTAAACGAATGACCTACTTATTCCCGAGTTTTCTCGTTATATTAAAGTTTGAAGCGGATCTAATTATACAAGGAGAGAGTTGTTACCAAGATTTCTGCTTATTAGTGTTTGCCTTCGTTAGTCTCGATAAACAACCAACGTCGCGTAGCATTCTTCTAAAGTGCATGAAAGTACAAAAGTTTAACGCAGTTATGAAGATTTTCCATAAGAAAATTGATTATAAGCTGGCGGAAGATAACGTTCTTTTTATTGTCGTAATATCTCTGTAATGTAACTCTGCATATTTTAACGAGAATCAAGAAGTCGTTTAAGAAACGCCCAAAAAACGACTACTTTCAGTTAACATCTCGTTTCAATCGGTCCAGAATTTTCATCTATCTATGCTTTGAACCTCCCTCTAGGGAACGTGTATTTTTCAAAATACTACAACGCTGATAAAGAAATTTTGAAAAACAGAAAATCCAATTTTCATAGGTTTCTTCTAAAAAGATCGTTTCGGTACGAAATGTATTTAGACTTTTATCCATGGATCAGATTTAATCCTCGAGACTTACAACTTGAGGCATGTCTAATTAAAACAATTCGTTTCTACTTGTGTCCTCTCGTTACAGGAAAACCTCAACGTTACATAATGTATCACTTGTTGGCGTCGAGAACCAAGAAACACACTCAACGTACAATATTTGCATAACAACGCGGAATATATCAGTTTCAAAATGTACCAACAATCCTGTTAATCAATCATCATCGATGATAACTTTAGTACTTAATACTTATAACAAAGTTTGAAATTTCTTAATTACTTCCTATCGCAATTGAATAAATTCTTTTCATAAATTAATATTGTACCAATTACAGGTTGATTTTTTATCATTTAATTATCTTTGATGAAGATATTTTATTTCGATAAAGTCTTACATAAAGTTATGATACAGCAGGCAATACTGTACACTCGTTGTAACAAAATATTCAGTTGCAATTGAGGAAGATATAAGATCAACGAAGCAGTAACGATGCAAAGTATATGTAGTGAACTTTATGGTTGCTCCATAACAGATCCTTCAGCTTGAAATAATAAACATTTATAGACCGTAACGCATTCTTGTTGAATACGCATAAACGTCGTTGTAATTTACGATTTCAAATTAGTCAGCCTCCCCTCGCTGATTCCAACGATTTGCATTCTTCTTATTTAATTGTTCGTATTAAAGCAATGATTTTTAATGAAAAATATTAATAAACTTCCTATTAGTGTCTTCACTCTATAGATCGTTGTCAACAGTATGTTGAAATATCCGTGCAATCTTTATACTTATAAGCTAAAAGTAATACAACGGATATACAGTATAGAATTTAGTTCTTAATTTTATGAAATTTTAAAAACCGTCTATTAAATTAATTGAATTTAAAATACAATGTACGGGGAAACGAAAGTTAATTCAAACAAATGCGAAGAATAATGGAAAAGAATTCAACAAAGAGATAAAGATTTATTTCAAATTAGATTTTTATAACATCTTAAAATAAAAACGAAAACCCCATAATAAAATACAAAAGGTAACAATAAACTTACAACATATTTAACTATCCCTTTTTTCAAAACTAACCAGGAACCCATCTTTTGGAATAAGTTGAAAAGTGCCTCTCTTAAACTTTATAGGTTTTGTTTTCTCGTTAGGCTTTATTATAAACTTCTGCAAAAGATGTACTATCAGAAGCTTGGTTTCCATCAACGCGAAACGATTGCCAATGCACATTCGAGGTCCAATTCCAAACGGTATATAAGTATAAGGAACTATATTGTCCTTATTTTCTTTACTGAATCGTTCGGGATCGAACTTCTCGGGATTAGGAAAGTATTTAGGATCGTGATGCAGTGAATAAGTAGGGAACCAGATGTTTTGGTCCGGTTGAATAACTACGCTCTTGTGACCAGGTCCAGCTGGAGGCAATTCGAATTTTTCCGCGCATAATCTATCGATGAACAGTACTGGAGGATACATCCTGAGTATCTCCGATATTACCATTTCTATGTACTCCATTTTCATCAGGGCCTCGTACGAGATCTCACCCTTTCCTTCGGCCAAATAGTGATCCACTTCCTTCCGTAGCTTTTCCTGGACGTCTTGGTTCATAGCCAGCTCGTGAGTCAGGTAACACATCAAGGTGGACGACGTGTCGAATCCAGCCAAGAAAAAGATGAACGCTTGAGCGACCATATCGTCGATGGTCATTCGAGTAGTCCCTTTGTCCCTGGCCTGCATCAGAAGATGGATCATGTCCGGTCTGACGACGCCTTTGGTTTCTCGTATTTTCACCGTTTCGGATATAATTTTCGTCAGAAAATTCGACGACGATTGCGACAAGAACGTTATGCCTGCCATTCTCGTCAGGCGAGGGCTTATACGAAACATTAGAAATTTCATTGTTCGCAATATACCCATGAAATTAGCCGTGTCCGTTCCTGTCTTGTAGAACTCGTTGTCCTGATCTTTCAAAGAGTTCACGGTTATCCCGAAAGCTGCCGTAGCGATCACGTCGTTCGTGTATCTCGTGAAGACCTCTTTGCTTCGTATCATCGAACAACATTCTGGATGATTGTAGAAATAGTCGACGAAATCGTAGGAACACTTGGACACCAAACCGAACATGAATTTCATCTTACTAGCCGTGAAGAATGGACTCAAAGTGTTCCTTATCGTTTTCCAACGATCACCTTTCAAAGAGAAGACGTTCTTCCCAAATATTGGATCCATTTCTTCGGTGACGAAGCCTCGGTGATCCGGAAAATGGTCGAAGTGCTTTATAGCTACATCTTTGATCAACTCTGGATCCCGTATAATAATGGTTGGCGTGGCGAAATCCATGACTCCGAAATACCTTGAATTCTGGTGATCATGGTAAATTTCTTTTATGTAGTCTGAAATGATTTTGCGACGTAATGTAATTCCAAATATAATTCCAACCAATGGTGTCACTTCCGTGTACGGTACACCACGTTTCTTCCAGTAAGTGCGCTGATACTGTATTATTGACACAATCTTTATTAAACCGATGACGATCAAGGTGATCACTAACGACTCGAACACTGATAAAGATGACAGAGCCTCCATCGTTACAAACGTGTCTTTCGAATGGACGTCCTCCATTAAGTCTTCTTATAAATGCTAACAAATTCCCCTATACACGCAGAAAATACGAGGAGGGAGGATCAAGATACGCAGGAGTTGCTTTATCATTTTCGGATAAGAGGCTGAGGATGTCTGACTCTCAGATAACGAATATATTTTTCAATAATTCTGATAAATGTTGCAGCTTTGAGAACGGAAATAATCGACACTTTTTTATTGTAAATCAGATACTGGAAATCAATTAATTCTTCGATTTTAAGTTATCAAATGTAATCGGGCATTCACCTCGCGATATCAGAGATCGAATCATAGATCAGCTTTAGCGATAATGCATTACTTTCAAGGTAACGTGACATGTTACTTGCGTTTCTTGTCGAAGAAATTTTTTTTTAAATGAAATCACCAAAAATCCAATTTGTAGTACTTTCAATATAGGGAAAATTGTCTGTTAATTAGAAAGCAGCACCTGAACTATTAAATCACTGATCAAGATTATGAAATTATCGGTGACTTCCCATGAATTCACAGTATCGTCATAACTTGTATCAATGACGTTCAATTTCATAACTCCTTAAGGGTAGAAACAACAGTCGCCGTAGAAATTGCAATTTTACAAAAATAAATGAATATCGAATAAAGGGCATCTTTTAACTCGTTCGAAATTCTCCGATGTTATTATAGAAAATCTGTTTTTACAAAGTATAGAGATTGTCTGCAAATTCTATCAAACAAATATAGAATGGCAAACAGATACCGATTTTTTTCTAAACATGATAGTTGAAGACACGTCCAAGAAAATCCCTGATACTAGTTTCTGATAAGCCCCATATCTAACTCCGCCAATCAATCGCGACTAGTTTCACTTGAAAATTTTTATCCCAAGCTGTATAACTGCACAAGCCTCTGTGTAACTGCACGAGATATGAATACGAAGCAAAAACTATTCCATTACATAATATGTTTACTTACACTTCACAAAAATTCAAGACATTTGGAAATTTTTATTCAGACAAGAATGATTTACTAAAAGCAATAAGAAAATTTCTTAGAAATTTAAGTGAGCGAAAAAATGCTGTTAAAAGTATAATAGGACTTTTTGAAAAATAAAGAAAATGCTTTCGAATTGTGCAATTATACAAATATTCACATCATTACCAAGCATATTCTGTTGTATCTGGTTTTAATATTAGTATCGATTATGCAATCACTTACCAATAGACACGACAGTTTAAAGATGCGAATACCTGACAGGAATAATTAAATGGAGATAGTCTGAAACAAGAAAATTTTACATACAATGGTGTTAAAGATACAATGTTAATAAACGTTAACTCACTGAATAAATGAAAAATATAATAAAAAAGCAGCATTTCTAATCACAGCTACATTTTTCAAAATTGTATAAATATTATGATTCGTTCGTTTTAAGTAGTTTTAAAGGGAAATGTCTCCCTTTCTTGCGTCATTTTTTTTTAATATGACACGATCAGTGATAAAATTATGAATGTTTTATCTTCACACGAAATTGATTAATCAATCATCGAGTCAACGGCCTAATCACGTTGTCCGACCGAAGGCCTTCATGATCGCGAGTGCTTGCGATAAAACGCATGTCAACGACCGCGATCACCGCGTGTCGAAGGTTTGGATCTATGACTGATATGCAAGGAGACTCCAACTATACATAACTATCCCCTACACAGGAACTATCGAAACGTCAGACATTAAAAATGAAAGTTCTTGAACAATCATCTCTCAACTTCGAATGAAATTAGTCCAACTCCGGTCGGGGTTAATTGCATTTGTCTCATCTTCGAGACAGTTCTCATCAAAGGTGTAAAATAAATTCCAGATCGAGCGAATTGAACAGATCATGCAACGTTTCTTACAATTTCGCCAACTTTATCGTCTCCCGGGCGTAATTAATTATCAATATAACCGGAACGGTACAACAAACCTATTTTCCCTCGGTAACGGGACGCCGTAATTCGAAGAAAATTGTTTTAACAGGTCGCAACCATACGACAAGACGTAGCTGGACGGCATTATTCGCGAGTGCATCGTAAAAGCTCAACGTAAAAAGGAGAAGTAGTTTCACATCCTGCCCCCGCAGCCTTTAATTTCTTCGTTAAGCGCGTCGACTTGCAACCTTCGGCGCGAACAAAAGCGCGAAAATCAGTCGGGCAACAGTGCTCCTGACTGCAAAACGTACAGCGAATCTCCGCGGAAGTTAACCGATTTATTTTTAATCTATTTCCAGCTCGTTTAAAATCTGATTAGATGTCGCGAACAGAAAATAATCAACGGCTGGATGCAGCCCGGTACTTATTTTGTTCAACGTCTTTTAATACTGGCTGAAATTGGAAAACTGTGCCACGAACGAGACAAAGTTTAGCGCGAAATTTGAAAGGGAACGAACGTTGCTTTGTATACAAATCGCGGTGCAATTTCGATTGGACACATTAAGAGCGGTATAACATTCATAATTGCCTGTTGTAATATAAGGAAACGGGTAGTGAATGTATTACAATCTTTAAAAATGCAGAACTATTTGGGACTCGAATTCCTTGTCAATTTTTTAAGTATTTCTAAGAAAAGAAACAGTTCGTTGAGATGTATTCATTCTTAAATCTTCGACGTGAACGTTTGAACTCAGTAGATGTCGATAGGAGAAGGTTGAGATCTTTTAGTTAAAAGGATCGCTGTGCAAGTTTTACGAATTACAAATATGTTTATGTTGAGAAAAGAAAAAGACCGATGAAGCAGTCGAAGTTGAGACGATTGCGCTAATTAAAGCGACTAATTGCATCGAAGATAACAGGTGACGACGCGAACGGAAGGGGCCAGGAAGAGAATTGTGAAGCAGGAATTGGAACAAGAAAGATTAAATTAACAGATAAGACCGATCGAAAGGTTCGAACAATTAAGCACGAGCGAAAAACATACCCTGTCCCGTCGGAGGCGCGGATATTTCAGCGGAAAAATATTTATAGGGAAATATACCGTTCATAATTTTCAACGCTGGAAAATGAAAAATGTGGCAGATTTAATTATACGCAATGAAGTCCCTTTGACATCAAAATAAAATGCAACGTGATACAAACAGCGATGCTAATGTACGATGCAATGTGCACAATTCATTTGTGATATTTCACGCAGAAAAAAGAGAATTATTGTTATTTTTTTCTTTCTAAAACTTCGCGTTTTTCTGGTTTTGATCAAACAGAAACACAGTGGCTAATTTGAAAAAGAGGAATTAATATAATATAATGGACGGAAGGAACATCGCGTATTTGATATGGAATCTGAGATCTGTCAAATTGGCAGGTTCCATGAACCTGGTCTTCATTTTTTGTCAGTTTTCGAGCCAGTGACGTTAAATTTTCTGGAAAACAGACATAGAATATGATCCTGCGCGAAAAAAGCACGATAGAGGGGATCGAAGATTCGTAATGGAGCGAAGTCATGCTTGTAAACAGACACCATCTGTCTCTTCGTCTACATTCGTCCATTATTCCATTTCTCTTGGTGTATGTATATAAATATACAGCCACGACTGTACGTTTTCTTCGTTTCGTGGCAGTATTGCCAGTCCTCGAAGGTGACGCGAAGTATTCTCGCTGGTATATGTCGTATCGCTGCGTTGCGTCATTAAATCTTCAAGACGTAGCTATATAATATGTTGCAGTAACCCTGTTACCTTTCTGTTCTCCGAGTACACGTTTTACTTTCTTCGACTTCTACCTTGTCGCACGAAAATTTCCTTTGCCGGGACGTATAACAAGGACAGAAATAACGACGTTACTGGTAACATCGCGGGCTCCCTGATTTGCGTCGCAGTTGGTAGCTGTTTTGCGTCACTGAACAATGATTAAAACGTAAGCTATATGCACACTACGCACGCGTAATTGAGTTTGCCTAATGAACATTACGATGATTTGCGCCGTGCGCCCGTGCAGTGTATACGACAAGGAAGAGGCAGAAATTGATAGACACGAGAAATTTGTTCTCGACTTCTCTCTAAACGTACGATTATTCTTTCAGCGGACAATTCCAATATATGTGTGAGAGATTCTTCGGTGATTCAAAGTACTCAACAATATTCTCCAGTTTATGGAAGTATTTCTTTGTGAATCTTTTGACTATTTCCCTGTGTACGTACGACGTAAAAAAATCATCGAGGACCGAAGAAAAATGTACATTGGTCGATTCCTTTCTTTTACTAAATTCTTAAAACGAGTTACTTTGTACGAGCAAAGACGAAATGAGTAACATCCGTCGATAGAAACGCGAAGTGAACAGATGGCAGTTTCTGCAAACTTATCAGATGCATTTCCGCTTGCAATGCCTTGGTCATATTTACATTTCTGAATCCCTTATGGAATACAAATAAAAAGTATCGTTGACGCTTTTTCTTGATCGAAATTGGAAATTCTTTGGTAATAACCATATATATTGCGTCACGTGCATGTGCCCCTCGGGCTTTTAATGCCACGTCGATTGTTCAAGAAGTACAAGGAATGTCATAAGCGATCGTACCGTCTTTTAGCGACCAGAATAATCATTTTTGTACATAACGTATGTTTAATTCTTTAATCTTTATACATTTGGTGCATTGAAAACGTGTTGTTGTTTTTCAGGTGTTCGCCAAGATTATTCAACATTTAAAATGTAATTCAATGTTATATTATTCCAACGATATTGAGTTCTCGAAAAAACAAATATCACAACACCTTTCGATATATTTAATTACTAAAGAATACCGTGTACGTTCACGAGTAATTGAATGTCGTTTACACAGTTTATTTGCAGAAATCTCGTTCAATCGTCACCGAGTGATTTATTATAAATAAAGGTAACAAATCGAATGTTACGTAAAAATGGAACGTGTTTCAGAGATATACTCGTTTGGATACGGAACAGAAAGAGCATATTTTGTATTTATACGAAACGAAAACTATTTAATGTATTAGATTAATACTTTGCTTGCTTGT